GGGTGTGTGTGTGTGTGTGTGTGACATGTGAGCGTGCGTGGCAGGCTGGCACGCAGAGGCCCAGGAAGGGGAAGGTGGAGATCCTGCCATCTGGCTCTGGATTCAGGAGGCCCAGGACAAGCAGAGGGCGTGAATGTCCCGGGTCCTCTGGGCTGGCCCCTGGGGTCACAGGAGCAGGGTGCTGAGTCCGAGTCTCCCAGGCCCTCGCCTGTCTCTCCCACAGGCTCCGCACTCCTCATGGGCAGAAGCCTCCGAGCTGGGAGCCCAGAGAGTCTCTCCCGAGTGGTTCAGAGAGGAGGGAATGAGCGGGCCCTGCGCGGCGTGGCCACTTTCACACACAGTCTTGCCGTGTCGGCTGCGCAAAGGCTGTGCACGGTGGTCTTGATTCCCTGATGCAGGTGGGAAGGGAGGGGCTCAGGCCGGTCGGCGACCTGCCCTGTGTTACTCAGCAAGCCGTTGGCCAAGCCTCGATCAGAATACTGGGCTGTTGGACAACGAGGCCGGTGTCCTCCACCACGGCCTCTGCCCAGGGACTGGAACTGGCTGGAGGCCACCTTCGGGGAAGTTGGCACTCAGGGTCCAGGAGAAGGGACTTTGCAGAGTGGTGCAGGCCTACCAGACCTACCATGGTCCCTGCCATGGGACCCCCTGGGGTTGGAGCCCATTCCCTTGGGCAAGGCACCCGGGCTCAGAGCTGGTGGGCTCAGAAGCCTCTCCTGTGCCCCAGAGCCTTTAGGACATGGGGGCGTGGCAAGACCCATGGAAAGGAAGCCTGGAAACCTGCCACCCGACTGTTAGTCTGCAGTGACACAGAGACCTCCTCGGAATCCCTGCTCCCTCCAGGCCAGAGGCCACACTCAGGGAATGCCATTGCTCACCGGCCCTGGCGTCTGATGGCTGCAGAGTCCGACCTCCCAGGAGGCCTGCTGAGCCTACCAGGGTACAGGCCCTAACGGCCAGGAGGGCGCTGCAGGTCCCCTGGGGACCAGGCTGGGGACGGACAGAAGAGTAAGATGAGGCCCTGGCCTTTGAGAGGGCTCACAGGCTGCAGGAGGCCCTGGCCTTTGAGGGGGCTCACAGGTTGCAGGAGAGGCAAACACACAGATGATGCCAACACAGCATGGCTAGTGCTGTCCCTGAGGGGCCAAAGGCAGTTGCAGGGCACCAAGGAGGGACCTAGCTTCTGGGAAGGGGTGTAGAAGGCTTCCTGGAAGGAGGGACCCCTTCATCTCAAAGGCTGAGTAGGAGAAGAAGCTTGAGGAAGGTGTGGAAAAGCATCAGAGGCACGGGAACAGCATGAACAAAGGCTCAGAGGCATTGGAGAGCATCGTGTGCTTAGGATCCTGGGTAGTTCAGATTTTCCTCAGTTTCACACCAGCTTTTTCCCCTCTCTGTTTGGAAGAGTCAAGCCCTCCAATAAGGTCTCAACTCCACGGCTGGGTGTTCCTGCTTTAGGCCTGGGAAATGCTCCATGTCTAAGGCACTCTGCGGCACCATCGCAGGCCCATTTTAGAGCTCAGCCCTCAGAGGCTGGCGTGGGGAGGGGCTGTCTTTGCCCTCCCTTACGTGGGTCTGTTTGGGGGAGAGGCTGCCCTTGTAAATCTGCTTGGAAAGTTCTTTCTCCCAGTCGTAACCAGCTCAGCTCTGCCTCAGTGGCCTTCACCAGTCTGCACCTCTCAACATGTCAAGCAGGGCCTCAAATTCGAATGCCCACAGGGGCCCATTAAAGTGGGGTGCTGGAGGTGAGAGAAGATGCTGATGCTGGGGGAGGGGTGGGCACTCCGACGGCCAAGGTCTGATCTAAAGAGCTGTGTGTGGCCAGGTGGGGCATTAATTTTCAGCCTTGCCAGAGCCGTCTGCATTCCTAGAGAAGCTGGGAAGCTGAATTTTTATGTGAAATATCCCATTTTAAAACTATTGCCTCTTTTAAGAAATGTTGGTGGCTAAATACTTAGCACATCTGTGAGCCTGTTGGTTCGTGGGCTCTGACTGAGACTTAGGTATAAAAGGTTCAAGCAGAGATGATGGGATCCCAGGCCCAGCGGGGGGCAGGGCTTTGAGCTCTGCTCTCCTACCTTCAGGGACATGGGACCCTCCCAGGGAACAGGAGGCCAGTATGGAAAGAAGGCCTTCATGGGGCCAACAGAGACCCCCAACCAGGCAGATTGTCCTTCCCACAGCCTGGAAAGGCTGGGATG